TAATGGGGGGGAACAAATATTTTTCCCTAATGCTGAAGGTGAAAGTTTTACTGCCAGATCATAGATTTAGACCCAGAAGGGGCCTTAGAGGTCAACAGGAGGAAATTGAGGCCCAGAAAGATTAAGTGACTTGCCTCAAGGTTGCACAGGTAGTATTCTGCAAAGACAGTTTTTGAACCCAAGTCCTTTCACTCCAATTCTCATTTTCTTTCCACTGCACCAGAAGCCCAATCCTTAAGCTTTGCTTAATGCTGTTGGGATCTTACTCCCTTACGTGTATCTTGCAGCACTTCAGTTTCTCTTAAGCACTAGTTCTTTCTGTATACAAGTACATACATTTAGGCATCCCATTGTTACTGGTTTAAAGCGTTATAAAACCTTTTTAAACTCTGCCTAATCTAGCAGCTATCCAAATCACCTCATGCTCTTAGTCATCTCTTCATGCCTATTCCTCCAGTATCCTTTGAGTCAGACTTCTCCCCCTACCACTTTATTGAAACTGTTCTTTCCAAGGTCACCAGTGACTACTCTCTTACCAAATCCAATGGCTTCCCCCCCCCTTTTGCATTGTCTTTGATTTCTTTGTAACATTTAACACTAACCACTTTGTTGAAACAACACTCCTACTTTGTCATCCAGTTCCCCTGGTTTTCCAACCTCTCTTTTCTCATTTCTTTTGCTGGATCCTCTGTCTGCCTCAATAATTGACTGTTCCTCAAGGCTTTGACCAAGGGCTTTCCCTTGGAGAATGCAAATTTTCATATTGTTCTGCTATTTTGCTTCTAAGCAGATGACTTCCAAATCTATCTATGCCCTCAATCTGCTCTCCTGAGCTCCAGTTCTCTGTCATCAGTTGCTTTTTGTCTGAAGCCAAATTAATCAGTCTTGCTTCTCAGAATGTTAGTATTCCTAACGTTTTTATTTTTGTCAGTATCAATTTGTCATTGCCATTTTTCCTTGAGCTTTTAAATATTCATCCCTTCCTTCAGAATGCCTCACTAGGCCCTCATCACCTTTATCTTAGACTATTTACAACTTCTTTTGGGCTTCCTTATATCCTATCCATCTGGCACAGAAGCATCACTGGTTTTTTTTGTTGCCATAGGAGTTCAAATCCATGAGCCTGGCATTCAAGACCTTACTTTACTCAACAGCTATACTGTTTTACCTTCATATCTCATTCAACATGGAACATATCAAGCAAAGCCAATTTCCTTACTATTTCATACATGCCATGCTAATTGCTGTTACAGGTACCTTTATTCATGTCCTTTCTCACTCTGCCTCCTCTGCCTGGTTCTGGTGGAGGACAGGAATCACCCTAATCAGGTGTCACCCAGAGAGGGAGAGAAAGTGTCTCATAGGATATCTCTAGATAATGGGTTTGATTAGATGATTGCTAAGAACTTCAGTTAAGAACCTGTTGCTATGATCTTATGACTACAGATAATTCCCTCATCTGTAAAAAGCTGAAAATTAAACTCTTACAAATTCTTGGTGCTAGGTGCAATGAAAGAATCTTGGCCTTACTCTTTTCCTCAAGCAATATATCAAATCTTTCAGTTAGCACACACCAGAAGTATTGTAGTCCTTTAGAGAAGAGTGAGTCCACTGTGGATTTGAGTGATCTGGGAAAGCTTTCTGGTAAAGATGGGATTTGAGCTGGTCTTTGTCCTGATAAGGTGCAGCTATGCAAGAGGGGTATATTACAGACAGAAAACCAGCACTATGAAGGTACAGAACCGTGAATGAACTTAGCATTTTAAGGAGCAGTAGGAGACCCTGCTAGAGTTGAGGTAGGGCCAGAAATGGCCTCTGATTGTGAGATTAGGGAGCTTGGTCTTGATGTCTAGGCAGTGGGGTTGTGATTAGAGCTATCCCTTAGGAAGATCAGTCATGCAGCCTGTGAACCATAGATGCGGAGTAGAATAGAAGTAGAGAGGCTAATAATAAATGACAGATGTATAGAGCTTTGTAGTACTCTGCATTATCTGTCTTACTTGATCAGAGACAAAGCAGCTAGTTAGAAATTAAGACTGTGGTAATCAGAAGGGGCAAGTACTTTCTTTGAGCCTGAATTCTTGGCAAAAACCTTGTGGTACTCAACACTTTAAGTTTAGAAGTTGGTCTTTAGTCCACAACTCTTCTTCCCAGAGTTGTACTTTCTGCTACTTCTTTGTCTTTCTTTGCCTCTTGACCTGTCGACCTGAAGTAATGACCCTGAAGTAAATGTAGAAGCTGCTTTGAACAGGATATTTGATTTAGAAGGCGTGGATGCAGTTTGCTTTTATTCTCCCCAGGGGCATTCTTTTGATGTCTTTTCTGTATCTCTGCCCACAGAGGTTAACCCCCACTCCATTGTGTACGTCTCTTGACCCTTAGAGGTCATCTATCCATTTTATCTCAAATTCCTGGACACTCAGCTTTCCTCCAGACCTCTTCTTGCCCACCCCATTGAAATCTGTCTTCTAGCTTCACCATTCTATGGACATTTCTTTCTCCAAGTTCACCTATCACTTATCAGCGAGCTAGTAGCTTTCTGTGACTTAAAATACCTGAAACTGTTAGCCACCTTATCCTGGATAGTCTTTCTCTGACTTTCATGACAAAGCACTTTTTTGGATATGTTGGGTTACTAGGGCTAGGACTTCCAGGTGAGAGATGAAACATCAGAAGGCATTTTGGGTTGAAAGAAGCAAGGGAGAGCTTTGCTTGGCATTAATAATGCAAAGGAGGCTCACCAGATGAACCAGTGCTAGGTTTTGGATGGTAGAAACTTACGCTTCTGGACTAAGCAGAAAGGTGATTCATACCTCCTATCTTAGGAGCACCTCCTGAATGAAGGTAAAAAACAGGTCCTGGGGTTTACAGTGAAGAAAACTAGCCATTTTTCTCTGCTGTTTTTCCACTGTTTTTCTTCTTTACACACCTAATCTTCCAACCTTTCCTACCTTCTTTCAGCTAAGTAAAAACCCATACTGGGGGTGTCTACTTAAGGTGGTATAACTTTTGAAGTAAGACTTTAAATTGCTTCTCCTTGATGTACTTTCCCTTCATTTTCTCATCTTAAAAAAATAATTGAGAGAAGCTTGAGGCTTTCCATTTTGCTCTTAACCTGTCTCATTAGGTTCTCCTAGATATCAGGCACTGGGACCAAGCCAGATAGAAACAGTTTGTGTATCTATGATTATATGGAATAAGAGTTATTATACTGTTATCAGAATATTTTTAAAACTCCCCAGTTCATGGATCTCAGGTTAAGAACTCTTGGTAGAGAAATTTTCTAAATTTTAAAGGCCTTGTTTGTATTGAGCTTTTGGGCCCACAGTGAAGGGTGGACTTAAGTCTCATCTCGCGTTTTCTCTATTGTGCAGCTTGACCCTTGTGAAGTAGGGATTATATCTGTCAGTTATAATATTTTGACTATCTCTTTCCATTCTCCCAAGCTGTATATGAATGTGGGATGGGTGGGGTGGGGAAGAGTGCTAAGCACTCTCAGACCAGAAGTGGGACAAACAATTTCTTCTGAGGCTGAGACTGTAAGTGGGTTTGAATTAAGCTTTCAAGTGTTGTCTACAGGCCTGCCATTAAGGTGGTTCTGATTCACCTGTTTTTTGTCTTTTTCCATCTGCTATCCCCCATGCCTGGAATGTTTTCGTCTTCATTTCCCTTTTTGGCTTCCCTTAAGACTTTGTTTAAACCCCCTTTCTGTAGGTGGCCATTCCCACTCCTCACGTGCCTTCCGTAAGATTAGCTCCCATTTACACTGTATCTTGTGTGTACAGTTTTTTCCATATTGGCCTCCCCCATTAGAATTTGGACCCTTTTGAGGGTAGGGACAGGCTTCATAAATGCTTGTTGACTGACTGCTTCCTTCCCTTCCTTTCTCAGCTCTTGGTGCGGCCTATGGCACAGCAAAAAGTGGCACTGGTATTGCAGCCATGTCAGTCATGCGACCTGAACTGATCATGAAGTCAATCATTCCTGTTGTCATGGCTGGTATCATCGCTATCTATGGTTTGGTGGTGGCTGTTCTCATTGCCAACTCTCTGACACCGGGAATCACCCTGTTCAAGTGAGTGCCAATCCTGGACCTCCCACCCCCTCCCCATCCCCCTCTCTCAGCTCAAACTCAGGTCACAGAGGAAACTCTCATGAATCATTTAGTGGGTACCTATCTGCCCAGCACCCATACCTCCTCAGTAACAAGATCCCTCTCCTTTCCTTGCTCCCTTCCTGCCTGTGCACATTGACTCTTCTGGCTGTTGCCACTATTCATTCAACAGTTATGAACTGAACAGGGTGGCCTCTGGGGAATTTTGGGGGGTGGTTAGTGGAGGGAGGAATTTGGGTCAGCATTCTCTCCCCCTACCCCCACTTTGCATGTGAGTAGCTAGCCTGTTTGAGGCTTTGACTTCTGACCTTTGACCTCTATAGGAGCTTCCTTCAGCTGGGAGCAGGCCTCAGCGTGGGCCTGAGCGGGCTGGCAGCCGGCTTTGCCATTGGCATTGTAGGTGATGCTGGTGTTCGGGGGACAGCGCAGCAGCCCCGACTGTTCGTGGGGATGATCCTGATTCTGATCTTCGCTGAGGTGCTTGGGCTGTACGGCCTGATTGTGGCCCTCATTCTCTCTACAAAGTAGACCCTCTTTTCCCATTCTTCCCAGTGCCCCACCTCCTCCCCCCCAACTCATCCCTTCAGCCACAGAGTATGATGTAAAGACCCGTCTTGAACCACCCTCATCCCTCCCAATTCGCTCCAGAACGAATGGCCTGACACCTGGTGCAGTTGTCCAGTCGGTAGTTGGTCTTGTAAATGCGCAATGTCTTAGTGACTCTTCTGTCTGTGTCGCACCGCACAGGATTGGATGGTGCCTGAACTGGGCCCGGCTGGGGCTGAGGCCTCAGGCCTCCTGGGATCAGCCAGGCAGCCGTGCAATCTCCCTACACATTTGCCGTTAGTACTCTGTGTATAAAGATGAATTAGAATTGTCATTTTTCTCTTCACTGGATGTTTATTTATAAAGATTTGACATGTTCATAACGTTTATGGAGCAAGAATTTTCAATTTCCCATGCTATATATTAATCTTAAATATAGGTAGATTATTGCACTGTGGGGTTGTGTCAAGTGCTGAGAATTCCTTGGATGTGATAATTTGAAATTCAAGATTGCTGTAGTGTCCTGGTATTAGTAAGAATTGTATGATTTGGGAACATGTTGAACATGTGTTTCCAGTGGTGCTGTGTAGCACGGGGCCAGGGCTCACAGTGATGTTTCCAAATAAAATTCTGACTGGAGGGGCTGGTGTGGTGTGTCGATCTGTGAATGGGTGGAGCAGCCTTCACTGCAGAGTTTCCTCATGTTTTTCGTGTCATGGACTTCTTTGACAGTCTGAAAGTTTACGGACACCTTCTGGAATAATGTTTTTAAATGGATATAATACAGAGATTACAAAGAAACCAAGACTATTGAAACAGCTGTCAGTATAAAAAGTTCAGACTCCGTAGTATCAATGGAAAGGTGTTGGGTTCAGGAGATGGGGGGACAGAAAGGGGAGGATGCATGGATGGATGGACGGACGGACGGACGGACGGACGGACAAACAAATGGATGAGAGGGAGGGAACTACCCTGGCTGGTGTTTAGCTCATGGATAGAGGTGGAAGGGGCTCTGGGCCATCTAACCTGGAGAGATGGGCTCTGGGGGTCGCGTGAGCAGCATACATTATTGAAGGTCTACATTTGGGTGTTTGGAGCGGAGGAGGCGACATGCCATTGTCCTCACTGCTGCCCCTGCCCAGTCTTGGAGCCCCTTGGGTCACGCCTCCCCAGAGACGCCAGCCCCACTCGGGCCCTTAGTCATGCCCCAGCTTTGTCCGCTGCTCACTCCGCTATCCACGCCCCGCCCAACCCCAGGTGTGAATCCGCCTCCGCTGTGCGGAGCTTTCTGCCGGCTCACCTGATGGGAGGCTGAGTCAGGGTCGGAGAGAGCGGCGGAAGTCGAAGAATGATCGCTGTGGGCGGGACTGTCAGGGGCGAGGTCGGCCGTTGGCGCGTAGTCACGTGTCGTCAGCTGATCGGTGATCACGTGACAGCGGGGCTGGGCCCCAGAGCCGGGGAGAAAAACGGCCCGGCAGAGGAAGGCTCCCTGTCCAGGGTGCGGAAAGCCGGGGGAAGTGGGAATCTCGCACGAAGCCGGGCTCTTCCCTACCACTGTACCACCTCACCCCCACATCCCAGTCCAGGATGCCGCCCCACAAGATCGGGACTAAGGCCCAGATCGTGCAGTTCACCAACTGCCGCATTCTGCGCGGCCACGAGTTGATCTGGTGCGGAGCCGGGAGGGGCATGTGATGGGACAGGGGCCGGTGGAACCGGGGTCGGGACATGTGAGGGGGCAGGGGCTGGTGGAGGTGTGGGGTGGGTAGTGGAGCCAGGACGGGGATCTAGGCTGACATGAGTTTGTAGAATCCAGGAAGGCAACGACTCCTGATTCTGGGTGTGGTGAGGCTTGGAATGTGGAGGAACTTCTAGCATCCGAGAAGGGGAGGAAGGGCCTCTAGAGTCGGAGAGAAGAGAGGACCCTGCTCCGAAGGAAAATAGACCTTTGTCTTCTCAAGAGACAGGGGCTTTTGGAGAAGGATGATGCTGAATTTTGATGGGAGGGGAGGTCCGGAAGGGAGTCAGAGCTGAATTTATTTAGGTTTTTGTTGTTAACTCGTGTCTTACTCATTGTGACCCCACTTTGAGGTTTTCTTGACGAAGATAGTGGAATGGTTTGCCACTTCTTTCTCCACCTCGTTTTACAGATGAGAAAATTGAGGCAGAGTTAAGTGACTTGTCCAGGGTCACACAGCTAGTAAGGGTCTGAGACTTAATTTGAACTCAGAAAAAGGAGCCTTCCTGACTTGTGGCCTGGGACTCTATCCACTTCGACACCTTGCTGCCCCTTAGGTTAGACTCAAAAGGGTGGGAGGGAGGGAGGGACTCACTCTCTCAAATTCAGCTCTTTGACTCAAACTTCACAGAACAAAACCTGTAAATGAAAGGATTTGTTCTGTAAAACTTGTCAAAAGGCTACACCCAAGGACCTAGAAGGCCTCATGCAACCTAGAAGCTGAAGGTTCCCTGCTTTTGGGTTAGTTTCTGTAACTAACTTGGAGGTCGGATTCTTTGTGGGGAGGGACCCCCTCACCTTGACACCCATTCTACTTGTTTAAGCTCTGCACTTTCAGGGAGGACCTGTGGATTCGAGAAGGCCAAATCCTGGATCCAGAGAAGCTTTTCTTTGAGGAGAAGAAGTCAGCTGATAAGAAGAAGGACTGTGAGGGCCACATCCTGGCTCCAGGCTTCATTGATGTTCAGATAAATGGTAGGAAAAAGTCTCCATCCTTCCCCCTTCCATATCCCCCACCCCCAGTTCTACACTCTCCAGTTCAGTCTTCTGGTTTTTGCTTTCATTGCTCCCACCACAGAGCTGAGAGCTTCTATAGGACACCTTTCCCAACTGCAGCTCTCCCAACTGGGAAGCCTAACAGCTATACTCACTTCAACCAGAGCACATCCCCTCCCAGTATGGAATCTCTAGTCTGGTTTGCTTCCCTAAGACCCTTCTCTCTGACCAAAAGGTCGCTGTCTACTCAGAGTCTTTTATGGATTTCAGAATTGTTAGTCCCCGCTTAGGCATATTCCCTAAACTATAGACCAGCTCCCAACCTCTGCAGAGCTTATTCATTTGACTTCTTAACTCCTCAACCCATTTATGTTTCTTAGTGTTTCATCTCCATTGTTCTGCTGGACTCTGGCTTCTGTTGGTCTAACTACAGTAGTTCCTGGGTATATACTTCATAGGTGAACAGAGATAAAATTAACCTATTACACTAAGAGAGCAGCCTCCTGGCTGATGCAAAATCCTTGCATCCGGAGCTGGTGAGATAGATGCTATGGATTGGGCCATGAATGTCAGCTTCTTTCTCTGGCCACAGGTGGATTTGGGGTGGACTTCTCCCTGACCAATGAAGATATAAGTGCAGGGGTTGCTTTGGTTGCCAAGAATCTCCTGGCTTATGGGGTTACTTCATTCTGCCCAACCCTGGTCACCTCACCACCTGATATTTATCACAAGGTAGGTAAACTGAGGCTCTTTGGTATTGTCATTGCTTCCTATCATCCAAATAACTCTTATGTTCTAAAATCCCAGGGGTCTTCTAGTCTAGGCCCCTGTTTTCAGGCATGCTACTCAACTCCCACTCACCCACCAAACCCTTCACCATAAAGACCAGTGGTTGTGGATTGTTCTCCAGGTGCCCTGTCCATCTCTGATCATTTCTTGTGTCTAGCCAGTTGCCATCTACTAACTAGTTGCATTTCATTTGGCCTTTGAGAATGAATGAAAAATTCTTCATCAGAACCACCAACACAGGAAAATGTAAGTTGAGGGCCTTAGACAAAGTGAAAAGCAACTCTTTTTTTTCTGTTTGTTTTAATAATGAAGCAGTTTCTTTTTCTGGGTTTTGGAAGGTTTTGCAGAGTATGGAGGAATTGTGGGTGAGTTTATTGGTGATTGGCCTAATGTCTTTTGGTTTTCTTTGGGAGGCTAGTGCTGCCTCATTACACCAGCTGAAGGTGGCATGTGGAACCATAGTTAATCACACAGTTTCAAGGCTTTTTTCCCAGTTAGATGAGTAATATTTGTAAAGCGCGCTAAGCATAGTGCCCGACACAGGTTAGGTGCTTAATAAATAGTTTCTCCCTTGAGGTTAGTAAAGGCTTCTTGGAGGAAGTAGATTTGACAGGATTTTGAAAGATGGTTAAGATTTTGGTGAGAGAAAGAAGGGTACTCCTGGAGGAAGTACTCCACTAAGGAAGGTGAATAACATGACTATGGTGTAGGGTATATGTTGGGGAGGGATGGTGCTATCAGGTTGCATATGAGGTTAGCACTTGTGGTTCTGAAGGCCTTGAATTCTAGGGTATTGAAAGCCAACATAATAATAGTAATAGTTTGTTGAGCACTTTAAGGTTTGCAAAACAATTCTACCTTCCCTTGGGCCGTATACAGTTGCTTCAGACATAGAACACCACCTGAGGGTTGGGGTCCTTCTCTGCCCTTCCCATATAGGATCAAACAGACCTGCAATGACCATACAACACAAGGGCTAAGTCTGGGTAGCTCTTTGCCCTCCTCCTAATACCACACAGTTCCTGGTTTGACCCAGAGACTCTTCACCTCTTTGCCCATCTGCAACAAACCACATTCTAGGACCAAATTGTTGAGCAGGACCTCTTCTGTCAAAGAAGGAGTCATGTATAGTTTCTGTGTTTTGCCTTACTCCTATGAATGACATCTGGACCTTTTGCTTCCTAATTCTTTCGTCCTCTTGACTTATAGCACCATTATTTATGTTTCTGTCTATCTTCCAAGCAGGGATGCTTCTGTCTTTTCCCATTCTTCTCCTTTTCCTATTAGGCCCCTCAGCCAGTTCCCTTGACCATTCCTATAGTTACATATTTAAGCATTTAAAAATGCTTTCCTGGATCTCTGGCCTAAGTGTAAGCAGAGTTCTTGGATTTCAGTATGGAGACAAGTCAGGATTCTGACTGTTTCACACTGTGCCTACTAGTACTTCCAGAGCATTTATACATACATACATACATACATACATACATACATACATACATACATACATTTATTTATATATATTATATATTTATATATTGACCATTTTTTTAAAAACGTTAACCGCACTTGATATCATTTGCATACACTTTCTTCTCTTTGATCTTAGTTCTATTAAGTATTCACTTGTGTAGACCACTGTGATAGGCACAAGCAGAGATACTGAGATCAATGAGGTCTGGTCCTTGCTCTCAGGAGCTCACAGTGAGGTAATACTTTATATCTCTCTTAGTCACTATTCTGTTTGAGGTCTTAGATTTGAGACTGGTCCACAGGGAGGTGTAGCATCTCTAAAAGGAGCTGCGGATATTCTGGGAGTGGAGAATACCTCAGGCTAAAGCACAGAGATGGTAAATTGCTGGGCGTTTATGGAGATAATGGTGGGGTTGGGGTGGATGTGTTGAGCAATCTGACTAGAGTATAAGGTACGTGAAAGAAAAACAAAATTTGGGAGGAGGTAGGTGTGGAGCCATCCTGGGCCTTGAATGCCAGGCTAAGGAGTTTGTATTTTATTCTGTAGATACTAGGTAGCTGTTGAAGAGTTTTGAACAGAGGGGTGATGTTATCGAATCTACATGTAAGGAAGATTAATCTGGTAGTGATATGAGAGGCAGCTGGGTGGGAGACGTTTGAGGAGATTCCTCTCTCCATCTCCTCAACTCAGATTTTCAAATGTAGCTCTAGTCCTGGCTATAGCCTTTATCCTCAGGCCTCAGATGTCCAGTGGGCTCTTTCTCCTTAGGGCCAGCTCTTGCTTTGAGGGCTACCAACGTAGACCTACTGATCGATGCTGCCCTGTGTCCTGGGGACTTCCGCCCTGCCTCTTAGCACGCAAAGGGAGCCCAGGAGGAAGAAAGGAAAGATACAGTGCCAGGCACTATGCTGAGCGCTTTACAAATGTTAGCTCATTTGATCTTCACAACAGCCCTGGGAGGTGAGGTGAAGTGACCTACCCAGAGTCACACAGGCCAGATTTGAACCAAGTCTTCTGAGTCCAGGACCCTCACCTTCTCCATTCAGTCACCTCACTGCCTCTGGGTGGAGGAAGCTTGGGTTCTGCTTCTAACTTATATGACTTGGGATAAGTCATTTCCATTCTGGGAAGTTTCCTCTTTTATAGAATGAGGGGGCTGGACTGATTCTCTAAGGTCACTCACTTCTAGGCCTGATATGCTGTGGTATCTTTTAGAGGCCCCCCTCTCTCCTGGCTCCAGGGACCAGTTGGCACTATTTTTCTAAAGGAGTAGTTGAAAGGAGAATTCAGAAGTTTCACTTAATCCATTTCTAGGCTGGGTTTTCTTGTGCCCTGTCACTTTCTAGATCTGAGGTTTTCCTACTGCATCTTGCTGTTGCTT